GCAAACCTGGGGAATGTCAATTACGCAAGGGTTAGAGAACCTTCACACTAATCCTGGTCTGTTCTGGGGTTATGCAGAAGAGTTGTTTCACTGTCATATGAACTGGGTTCACTGGGGTCGCATGATGTTGGGGCTGAGAGGAGCAAAGTGGCTGCACACATCACAGCCTTCCTGCAGTTAATCCATGGTGTGCTGCTGTGTTATGGGAACTGGCTGATTGTGCTAAGCAAACTTCAAACATTTGCAGGATGGGGGAAAGCCATCAATAGTGTTACACTGAGATCTTTTGGAAAAAAGACATAAAAGTAATGTGACACCTTGAAAAGTTTATTTCTGTCGTCATGGCTTAATAGAAACTGAGTCGTGCAGGACCATGTTTTGAAAAAACTTAATAATCCAAGTTGGTTCATAAATTATTTATCAAGATTCTGGGTTACCATGTTATTTAAATGGTTATTTACATTTACTTTCTTAAATGTAGCGTTTTGTAGTTTGTAGTCATTGATAGTAAGCATAAAAATTGCTCTTCAGTTTCTTGACAATTCAGCTTTGATTTGGCTGTATATACTACTTAATTATCCATATAACTGACCAGGTGGTTTTGTATATAATGTTAATGATAAATAATAAAAACTTAAGAGGCACAAGTTCTGCCTTATCCGTGGACCTCAGAAGCCAGCAGAACATTTTTTGCATGGTAGAAAAGCGACATTGATGGACTTGCTAATGGAGATTGCATTTCCTACAGAAGGGGAGAGTGTAACCGAGCATGCATTTCTGTAATAGTGACCTGCTACCTCTCTGCGCTGAGAGGCAGGTAGTGTGGAATCTGGCAAGGGCTTGCTGAGAGTTTGGGCATCTTTCCTGCTGTGATACCCACCCTGGTGAAGGAGAACCCATTGCACTGGCATTATTGGAGGGTAGGGGGTGCTTGGGCGGGACCTGGTACCATGCTCTCTCGTGTGCTCTAGCACAGAGGCCCTCTGAACAGCGCTTTCCAGTAACCAGGCTAACTCAAAGGCAAAAAAGCATTTGGAAAGGAGCACTCGTGGCAAAGGTTTAGCGGCAGACTGTTAGCTGGATTGGGAGACAGGACTGGGTCTTCGCCCATCAGCTTCCATCCTTCCTTCCTTATTCCTGTTCAGGACTCCTGTGTCTGTGTTAGCCACTTGTCTGTTTTATGTCTGTTCTTTCTTCCAGCTGCACTCAATAGACATTTTGCAGAGTTCAAAATGATTTGTCAGAAAATAGGGTAACAAGACAAGGAGGCGAACCCTTGCCTTTGTGGTGGTGGTGCGAGTAACAGAGCTTCAGCGGTGACTATAGAGGGCTTTCAGTATCCTGGTTAAGTCCAAATAACTGTGTTTCGTATGGAGAAGAATGACAAGAATTAGTCCAGGCCTAGAAATTTTAGCATTAGAAATCTGAGGAGTCTTTTCAGCACACATAAGAAAAGTTAATAGGCCGTCTTCTGGAGACACTTGCTTCTCTTGTCCAGGGCACGTGCCCCTTCATGTGCCTGGTAGGCATTTATCTGAAAGAGTACAGCATACGCCAGTGTTCGCTTTGCTTGGTTTGTTCTAAGAAACACTCTTGGACAAACATAGAGGTATTTGTAAAATGCTAAAGTAAACAATAGTAAACAGTGTCTTCCTGCTTAAGGAGAAAAAGAAATGTGAAATGTTAAAATCTCTGTCTGTGTTACAGCCTGAGCTTGTTGGCTTGAGAGTAAATTGGCTTAACATCTGCTCACGGCGCTCTTGTACTTGGCATGAGGAGCACCCATACAGGCAGCAAATAGACATCGGCTTCCAGGCTGCTGCCTTGTTTTCCATTAATACAGAGGAACTGGAGCGTTGTGGTGCCGCTTCATTACATAATCTTCTGACTGTATGATGTGAACTTATACCTTGCTTTACTGCCATATGACCCCTCATAGCAATCAGATTTGTGGCTGAAGCTTATTATGAAAAGTGAGAGAAGGTATGGAGTGGGATTTTGGGGGTGCCAGGAAGCTAGCGGGTGATTTTGGACCAGGCACCGACTCTCAGATTAACCTACCCCACAGGGTTGTTGTGAGGTTAAAAATGGAGAGGAGGAGGATTGGTGGGAGTGTGGTTCTATGGGCAGGATGTATTTCTTTGCTCCGAAGTTCTGCTTCTGTTTCTGAGCCAGTTAGAGGAGAAAATACGTGAAGCAGAATAATAGTGGCAAAAAGAGGAAGGGATACTTGTAGTAGAAATGAAGTACAAATGGAGAACTTGCGTTCTGTTTTGAAGATGGGGGGATATTATGTGCCATAAAGCTGTGTTAGGGCAACCTTATGAAGGAACACCCTAGAAAATGTCCTATCTGGGCAGATAGATAGTAGCTGACAGTTTGGTTGTCTTGAACAGATGAGTAAGAAACAGTCTGGGCTTCATGAGGACAGATCAGCAAATATTGGTCATTTGGATATTATATTTCTACACTGCATTTAATTTATCCATTTCAAAACACATTTGATTACTAACTTGTTGCTTCTTAAAAGGTTGGAATGATTTTTAACAAAATGAGCGTGTCTTGTGCCAATATAATATAGATCTAGGTAAGGTTGTATTTTAGGGATACTCAATCCTAGTGAGAAACCATTTAAACAATATTGGCCGGGATCCAAATAACTATTATGAGCCTATTAAAAGTTGTTATTGCTTAGTGGAACTTTTGACTACCTACTCTGTTTTGAAATGTCCCTTAGTTTCAAAAGTGGTTTGCTCTCTGTTATGGAAGCTTCCTGCTAGAGAAGCAAAAGCCCTCAGACACGTGAGCCTTTGCCTAATGGTGCAGTTCTTTGGCTCCTGGCTGCTGCTTTTGGAACAGAAGAGCTGTGAACTGATTAACATGCTTTTCCCCAAAGGGGATGGGTTTCTTTTAAATCCTTCAAACAAAAGGAAATATTCATTACATTAAAATATAATTAAGAAATTGTGCTTCTCTATTATTTCAGGGCTAAGATAACAATATAAGTCAGATGCTTGGTATATAGAAGCTTATATTATCCCTTCTGAATAAAACGTCCTGTTTTTCAAAGGTGTAGGTATTCCTGGCATTGTACAATGGTAATTCAGTGAGAAATGCTACAGTAAGATACTTGATTATATGTAGAATGTGGCCACTTATTCCTGGCTGTCACAATCTTTAGAAAGCTAATGTGCAACAGGCATGCAAGTGGTATGTTTTCCAGTGGAGTTGCCAGTCATGTTGAGACCACGTTTTAAGTGTTTCTGACTGGGGAAAAATGCTGCCCTGTTACGTGGCAGGAACTGTGGGCGGACTAACGTTCCAGAGCAATTGCCTCCAACATTTCTAAGTGACGATCAGCCACTGAAGATGTTAGGAAACAAGGTCCTAAGAAAAGCCCTGCTGGATCAGACCAAAGATCTGTCTAGCCCAGCACTTCGCACACCGTGCTGCAAGCCAGTTGCCCATGGGATCCCGCAAACAGGATGGATGCAAGCCCTCTGCTTGCCCCAGCTCCTCAGCAGGCATGCCCCCTCTGCCAAATAGGCAGCCACTGGTCGCCGCCCCTCTCACGAATCTGTCCATTTCCTTTTTAAAGTCATCCAGTTTGGTGGCCATCCTCAGTTCCTGTGGCAGCGCATCCCATAATTTAACTGCATGCTGTGTTGCATTTATCTGTTCTGGACCTCCCGCCCATCAGCTTCAAGTGTTATGGGTGAGGGAGAAGAATATCTCCCCCTCTACTTTCTCCACACTAAACATTATTTTACATACCTCTATCATGTCTCCCCTGACTCACCCCTTTTCTAAGCGAAACAGTCCCAGTTGTAGCTGTTCCTCATTGGGGACTGTATCAAAAGCCTTTTGATCCTAGTAAATGGTGGCTATGGGATCACTCCTGTCTACATGCCTAATTGACACTCCTTCACTAATTTGAGAATAAAATGACTAAAATGTTGAAAGCCATCAAAAATAGCATCTATTGATATTTGTTATGGCAATGAATTCTGCAAATTGCACGGTGCTTTCTTATATTGGTTTTGAAATTAAGTGGTTATTGTCCACCACGCACCCACAAATGATGGCTTGGCCATTCTTGTGGTTGCACTGACACACTCCCTTCCTTTGGATTCTCTGGCGGCACAGAGAGGGGGCCTGGGAGAGAGACAGAATCTTTTCTCATCCATGCAGAGTTTTGAGAAGATGCGACACAGTCCTGTGGTGTACGGAAAGGCTGCTGCTTTTCTTAGCTGCTTGGCAACTGCACTGGCTGGAGGGCTGGGCACACTCACCGTAAGACTGGCTGGTGGACGTGTGGGCTCCTCTCGCCCATGTCACTGGCGCAAGGATTCCTTCAGTGCTCAAGAGTAGAATTGGAATGGCTTTCCCCAAAGAGAACCCCCCCCCCCAGTAGATGTGGGCAGGACCTGCTCTGCCGTGTGGAATGCGCCCTGTTCAGGATTCAAGTTGCGTCTTAACTGGTGCAAGTCCACACCTTTCCAAGCACATAATGTGATTCATGTTGGGGAAACATGTGTTTGACAGCAGGCATACTTTTGAAAAATGTAAACATATACAGTTTAATCAATCGATATGTAAAACAGATCTGCGTCTTTGGAAAAATGCATGAAAAAATGCACAAATGTTAATGGGAAAAGAAAACACAATTCTCGTAGTTCAGTATGGATCCAAGATGGAACATGCTTTAAGATGGATGTCAGAAATTTGGCAGGCTACAGTTTTGCTGATTCTCACATCCCTACTATTCACAGTGCTTTTGAGTCTTTATCGATGGTGCAGCAGTGCATAACTTTTCTGTCTTTCATCGACACTGACTTGGACGTTGCCTGTCCTGTTGATTTTGATTCCGCTAATGAGAGATTGGAGAGCTGACCTGTATGTCACTGAGCATGCTGTATTATAGTACAGTGCTGAAATAAACGGATGCTTCTTCCTTTCCTTTCAGAATCTGTCTATGACCTTCTCCCTAAGGAGCTGCAGTTGCCGCCTTCCAGAGAACTCTCGGTAGCATCCATGAGTCAAACAAGCGGTGGCGAGGCAGGTTCACCCCCTCCGGGTGTAGTTGCTGCTGGTAAGTATTTCTCTTGAGTCAGATTAAGCTGTTAATGTATATTAATTGTTGCCAACATGAGCAGTGCTGGAAAAGTTTGCCGTCACAGTTCATGAGAGAGGGAGAAAGACTAGAAGTAGGTGAAATGTTCATGTTATCTCCCCCCCTGCCCCGCCCCTGGTAGTTCAGAGCCACAATAGAGTGTACCCATGTGCTTGCGAGCAAGGGCAGAAAATAAAACCTGCCACAGTATCTTTGGGTTCTGTTCTGCGATGAAAAGACGCAATACTCCATGCCCCTGAGTTATGCTCAAACCATATTACTTAAAACATTCCTTCTGCTTGTTTTCCGTTTTCTTTATTTAGAAAAATGTGGGCCTTTTTTGTAACTCTTGGGCAATTGGTACCTCGAGCCCTTCTCAGCACTGGCTGTACTTTGCACTTTAAATATTCTTGTTAATAGTTGTATTTTGTATTCGATTTCATATTCAGAGAGGTCGGCCTGGTGCCGTCGTTATTTGTTTTTCGGCGCCAGGCTAAGACCTTTTTATTCAAACAATATTTTAACAATGTTTAATATTTATAGGTTTTAATTGTGCAGCTGGGGTGTTTCCGGGTTTTAACTGTATTTATATTATATTTGTTTATTTGTGTGAGCCGTCCCGAGGCTATATAGCAAGGGGACGGCATACAAAAACTTTAAATAAATAAATAAATAAATAAATAAAATATTCCATTCATTAGAACATAGGAAAGGTCCCTCTAGTGCAGGATTCTGAGTGTGGACAACCTCCCACTCGTGTTCCACAGGAACTAGTATACAGAGACCTACTTCCTTTGATACAAGAGGTAGCATATAACCCTCATGGCTAATAGTCATTGGTAGCCTTATCTTCCACAAATGTACATCATTTCTGTTTAAAGCCCCCAAATTGTGGTGCTCATCACTCCATCCTGTCATAGCAAATTCCACTGTTGGGCTGCACAGTGCGTGCATGTGCTGAATCTCCCAGGGATCAGCTCGTGGAAGGAGCCCGAAGGGAGGGGAGCAAAACAGCACCCTTTATATTTCCTCTTTCGCAAGCATAATTTTGTACCCACGATCACCTCCCCCTCTCACTCACCCTGTTTCTAAGCTAAACAGCCCCGGGCGTTGAAAGTTTTCCTCGTAAGGGTGTCGCAGCTCCTGAATCGTTTTATTCTGGACCCTCTCATGGACCAAAAAGGTACCGCAGACTGTGCTAAGCCCATAGTCTGTGCAGCAGGAGCAGTCGAGTGGCTGGGGAGGGAGAAGCCGCTCTCAGCGCAGTGGGCTGGGCGTCTCATGCAACGCGCGGCACTCTGCCTGGAGTGCCTTCCGCAGTACGGCTCAGCGTGCAGCATGAACCGCTTGCTTTGACGGCACAAGGCCTACACCTCGAGTAGAAACTTTACAGCACTGTTCCATGTTGAAGTGTTTGAACACTTTTTTCTAATGAAGTCTGTGGATTTAATTGTGTATTAGGAAAGATTGGTCATGAGATCAAAGACTGCTTCACGTTACAAATCTGCAAATCATCCAGCATAGTTTCCTCCTGCACAGTCAAGAGAGCAGAAACAGCAAGATCTTTTGAAAACTGCTACCACCTTGAATCCACAGATGTTTACTGTTGATTTTCATACTTTGAGATCATTTTCAAACTTCTTAAGGACTTGATGAGGAGAACTAAGTGTCTGTTATTTCTAGCCTTTAAGTTGTCTGACAGTCAATCCACTTCCTTTCAAAAACTGAACATATGAAGAAAAAAAGCACATTATATAAGAATATTTATAATAAGGGCAATATTGCTTGAATCCGAAGGGTTTTTCAGTATGGCTTCCAAAATATTTGGCAAGCAATCTCTTCTCCAGACAAATACAGGTCAAATATTTCTCTCTCATTTACAAAATAAAATGTTAAAGTCCTAGCTTCAAAGAAATACCCTGGTTTGCCTTGGCCTGTGCCCTATACGGCAGAGATGGGCAACCATAACTCAGAAACGGGGTGCCGTCTCCCAGGTTGCCCCCTTTCTTTCTCCTCATGTTCCGTCCTTCCCCTATGTCACAACTGTGCTAGAGCAGAGACCGTGTGGGGACGACCCTCCACACATGCCCCGTTTCCTGCTTCAGTCCAGGGAAATGCTTGGAATTGGGACATGTGGGAAGCGCCATTCCTGGGGGCCCCTTTCCCCAGCAAATTGGCCTTTAATCCGGAGCAAAGTTTACATTCTGTGCCTCCACCCTACTCGGTTGGCCGGTGGTGGGGGAAGGGATGCCCTTAGCATGTAGGGTGGTACGTTCCACTCTCCCCATCTCTGTGTGTGGAGAGTGGGGGGAGCGTCCCTTTGAGAAAAGCTGCGTGAGAGTGTGCATGTGTCGGGTCAGGGTGCCTGTATCTGTGTGCATGCAGGCAGTCTGTGCATAGTCAAAGTCCCCAGCTTATTACCCATGTGATCTTCAGGAGCCCAAAAGTTGTAAAAGTTGTTCCTGAACTGGTGGCATACGCTCAGTGCTTTCATCGTTCAGTCAAGCCCCCTGGACGTGTGAGTTAAAACTGACATTAAACCTTGTTATTGATACGACAATAGTACTGGGCCTAGCCATAGTAGGGTGCAACTCCAGGTATTTCTGCTGAGGCCAGTAGGATCCTCATAAAAGTCAACTGAAAAATTGTGGCTTTACAATGTAGCGATAAATAGTCAGTAAAAACTAGTAGGGATGGAAATTGCAAAACAAGACCAAACAGCTACAGTTTTAAAAAGCTGTTTCCCCTGATTTTTAAAAAGTTTATTTGGCTTGCGATTTTGTCAGCTGCAAGTGTTAAAAAGACACTGAAGGACATTCACTCTTGTAAGCAGGCACTAGCATGATCACTGAAGCATATCTGATATCTAAGAGTTCTGAGTATTTTATTTAGATACTGACAAAATAAAGGAGAAGGCCAAAATGCAGAGATTCTACATGGGGGAAATCCTAGCAACTTGGCTTAAGGACCCTCCTGTCAGCTTACTGGATTCTTAAGAATGGTGTTTGGACTTGATCCATTATCATAGCTCCAAGACAGATGTCCTTCCCAGACGTCGGGTGAGCGGAAACCTTAGTTTCAAGCACAACACCGGGGCATTTGTGTTGTTCTGCTCCCTCCCTGTAGACAATTCAGAAAGCATAAAAGGAGAGAACCTGACAAGGACTCCGGGAGCCTTCGGAAATTCTGGAATTCTGACTGGCCGTCACTAGCCTGGTCACAGTACTGTGCCCAGCATCCTTTGAGAGTAGCTGATTTTTCTTCTTGGAGAGAACTCCCATTTCCAAGCGCAGGCCACTTCCATCCTTTTGAAGCAGCCATTACTTTTGCAGCTTAGTTTACCTACCCAGGTGCCTCCAAGTCTTGTTAAGGTGGGCCGGTTACTTAAGAGGAAGGTATGAACACAAGGCAGCCTTTCCACAGCCCCACAAACTCGTCGTGTCTGTACAGAGCTCTCGAAATCTACCTGAGGGTATTTTTCCTTTTATTGAGAAAATCGGAGAAAGTTGTGGCTAGGGAAGGGATGCTTGTGAGATTAAAATAATTTTTAAAAGGGGGCCAAGAATCACCCTTCAATCATTTTGGCCCTATCAGGTAGATGAGGAAAGATTCCTATCAGCCACATGAGCAAGTGGCTGGAAGGGAAAGGTGACCCCAAGTAATTTAGAGCTGTGAGAACCCATTCCTTTATGTCCTAAATCACTATTTTTAACAACTGCTCTTATTTTGATATGACAGAGCTTCAAAATATTTTTAGGAATTCAAGTTTGTTACCTCAGGCAGCCCCTTTAAAGCTGGCTGCAGTTTCTTCACAAAGCTAAGAAAGTGTTCTGTGTTTTGTTGGCGATGTGTGGAGCTCCCTCTCCCTCATTTCAGCTGCCTGATGCAGTTGCCCTTGCTGGTGCCAGTGAGTAGATTAAGAGGTGAGGCCCCGTGAAAAATATTTTCCTTATTTAAGACTTAACTTCATTTGTTCTCTGCTTCCCTAGCCACAGGGTGACACAATATCTGGCTGCAAATCAGATTGCCCCAGGCCTGTCTTTCAGTGCTTTGATCTCAGGCTCTGGGACACATAAGCGGGTTACATAAAGGTTTGCTGCAGTTAACTTCAGATTTCTGGAGGAACGGGATTGGCTGATCTCAGGTATGAGGGCCTGCAAGAACAGACTGCTAGTTCTGCTACTACCGTTTGGCTTCCAATTTGCAAATCATTCCAAACCATTTTAAAACTAAGTCTTGGTAACTGGGTTTTAAAGAGCATATTTGATTATTTTAACATAAAAGGTGTGTTTCATATTCATCAATCCAAATATGAGGTGGCTTCTTTGCAATCAACCAACTAGCAATCTAGAATTTTCAGATAGTCCTCTGCTTCTTTCTGAATCTGCTTGATGGACTGTAGTTAAGCGGGGAAGAAGTGCCTGTCTCTTAAAGTCAGGTAGGCCTCAGTCGTATGTGTATGTTTGTGTGTGATGATCTGAAGAGCTTATTCTTTCCCTGCCGTCAGCCTGCTGCTAGCTGTGTCTGGCCAGAAGTAAAGGGCTGTGTAGCTGGAACATTTCTCAAGAGTGCCCCAGTGACGTGAAGAGTTAAAAACATGCCACGAATATAGCTCTGAAGAGTGACTGGGCGCAACACTTTCTAGGCAGTTCTAGGGCTGTGCCTGCACAAGGTAAATGAGAACGCGGACACACTAGCCAAACCAAACTTGCCAGAGACAGATCAGGTTTTGCTTAGAGGAGAGCCACTGAATTCAGTGGGCCAAGTTGGCCATGACTAACTCAAGTCCCATTAATTGAATGGACTACTTCAGTTTTACAAGGATTGGATTCCAGGCAATTTATTATTCATCCTTGAGTCTGGACTGCTAGTGAAGTTGAATTTTTCATAGCCATTTACCATATTTTTGCAACCTTTCTGAACGCATTCTAACTAAAAAACCAACCTGATACATAAGGGCTGTGCAGTTTTTCAGAAACTGATGATAAAAGGGGCACCTTAGAGAGAAGTCATTTGATTTTACATATATATATATATATATATATATATATATATATGAATAAAGGATTGTCTTCCTTCCCTTTTTGTGTGATTAATGAGACCTGAGGCACAGCATGCACAATGCCAAATAATACCCCAGAGCACCTACAGTTAGAAGCTAGTTCTGGTAAAATTCTCTAAGTAGTGATTTTCAGCTTGGAGGTGTCAACTGTTCTGGCAAAGGGGGGGACTCAGACTGATTTAGTCTGTCTCCTAAGGGCAGGTCTGTCTTCCTGTGCACTGGCATGGTGCCAGATCAAACTCTGCTCTGAGCAGTGCCAGTTGTTTTAGGCTTATAATGACATACAAATTATCCCAGAGAGGCAAAGGAGATTCGGTGTCTAGTTAGCTTTGTGTCTCTTTGGCTGCCCTATGGAAAGTATCTGTTTGAGTTGATTTGCAGTTTGGACTATACATATTTTACACAATTCACTGAAGAATAGCCCTTATTAGACATGTACACCTACTTTCTCTGTTGGTCAAATCCAGTGAAAGCAGATCTGTGTTTGTCAGTGCCTACCTCTTTTCTAGTTTTAAGCATCTTTGTTTTCTTGACTGACGTAGTTATATTAAAATTTGCATTCTCTAAGCTCCTGAACCAGACCATTGTTCTTGTAGGAGCTTCTGGGCTGGGCTGTGAGTGTGTGCTTCTAATGAGCAGCCGTTGCGGTATTTTTGTTAATACGCATGGCAAAATCTCTGTGGGTTTATGAGCCCTACCAGTTTGGTGAATGATGACCATAGTGTACATGTGTCTTGTGTAAAAACAACAAGATGGATCAAGATGGCATTTTGGAAGGACCTGAGAGGACAAACCTTTTCTTTTCTGGAAAAATGCTAAAGTTTTTTCCATCAAGAAGGCATAGCGCTATTTACCTGCTTGTGAATATACTTGGAGAGGCAGGGAAGTAAGCATGAGGGTCCTGATTCCAGCTTGCTGGTTGGCTGTTTCTTATTTTCACTCTTGGGTGTCAGACCATCCAGTCTGAATTGTTGAACGTGAACCACCCAACAAAAGTTCCAGGTAAGAAAAAACTACTTGTGCATCTCTGAACATGATTGTCAAAGCAGGGAGAATCTGGTCCCTATTCTATTAAATGCTACTTGTTTTTGGCACTTGAATGTAAGGGGGAACTTATTATTGTTGGGGGTGTAATGTAAGTTATCAAACTACTTTGAATCTACCTTGAACTTTTAAAGTAAATTGCTTTGTGATATTTGCTGGGCTGCTAGTTTTTTTCTCTATTAATACACTTAACTTGCATTCTAGCTCCGCCATTCAGAGACAGGCATCGTGTGGTGGGTTGTGTGACAGTGTCTGTCAATAGTGAAGACAAATAGTACCAGAGACACTTAACCCATCCAATCTCACCCAGGGTATAGGTCGGTCTCGTTTTTAGACTTCTTCATAAGTCTTTCCTTTCTTTTTGTTTTTGATTTGTTTATAAATAGTGGATTGACTGAAGCTAAACTCTTACAAAGTTTTTGACTTTACTTCAATAAATGAAGGTGAAAAAAACAAAGACGAAGCTGGCACGGAAGGTGTCGGGAGCAGGTTTGCAGCCACTTTGTATATCCCAGTCCATATTTCTGCATTTGACAACCCAAGAGCTCATGTTCTTCTGTCTTGATTATGAAACGATGTCTTTGTATTCACTGGTCTTTCAAAATTCACACACAACAAGTTCTGGACAATATTGGAAGTGTCAACTGCCAAGGAAATACAATTCCATAAATGACCCATACGCAGGAAAGGGCACTGGGGATTAGAACCTGCCAAACCCTCAGGGTCACCCTGTGCTGCTGAATGCTCATCTTTGCATAGAGAGCGGGGCAAGGGTGAGAGGGTTAGTTCTTTTATCAGCTGCTTGTGCATTGCAGTGGTTTGCAGAGAGATGGCTAGCAATTTGCAAGGCACAAGCAAATGTTGCCTTTTGATCTCTCATGGTCTTCACTTTGGGAGGTGACTTCTATTTGCCACTTATTTTCTTATCACTCGACTGATTGCTTGCTCCTCTTGGAGAGCCCTGTGGCCCTGAAGGGCTCATGTTGAAAGAGGGCCCCCAGGTATCTCAGGAATAGAAATGGCCACATTTCGGCTCTGCCCAAAGATTGCAAATCCTTTGGTGCTTTGCAGTGAGAAAGGACATCGAGGTTTAAAAGAGCTTAATATCTTATAGTCTTAAGTCCCTCAAGGTTGTGGAAAACTTTTATAACTTTAGGTAGTCATAACTCAGGAGCTCATAACCTCTTTAATTTGGCCAGCTCTGAGCTCTTGATTGTTACTCAGATGAGAGGAGAAGCTTTAAAAACTCTGCCTTCCCTCAAAATGAAACTAGCATTTGTATGAGGAGCTGCTCGATGGCTGAGGGCGTGAGCAAGGGTCGTTGCCAGCTGATCCAGTTCGGCTCTGTCACTGTGGCGCAGAGCAGACGTAGCCCTTGCTGTGCGCTGAACTGGCCTGCTTTGGTTTCCTCCTTTTCTGAAACAGAGAACTGGGCCAAGAAGGCGGCAGGACTTGCTGTGCGTTCTTGAACTGCATTTGTTACCAGCTTGGAATACTGATGGTATTGGAGCTCAGTGTTTTGAGCGTCCAGTGTGATCTCTCTTGTTTGGATCTTGGATGAATTACTTACCAAATGACTTGCACAGATACTGTGTATTGCAGCCTATGTCACCATGCCTCCGGAGACTGTCATAAAATTTACTTGGCATGTGATTGTAATTCTGAAATGGCTTTTTAAGATGTAATTGATCCTTGTTAGTATGTAATTCTGTATTTCACAAAATGCAGTAAAAATATCCAAACCTCCCCCAACATTGAGTTTGTGCTTATTGGGCTGGGACTCTGGGGGCCTAGAGAATACGGGGAAGTTCTTGAAGAGAGTATGGGCAGTTCCACACTTGCTCTTGACCGTGCGGTTGCCACGTCAGGTGTAGAAGGCTTGCCTCCTAGTATCCTCCTTCCTGGATCCAACCCATTTCCTCTTGGCTTGGACATAAGTAACTTAATGGCCAGCAGTTTGGAGGAACCAGAACTTGCGCTGAGAGCATCCTGGCTTGGGACAAGTGAAGAAGCGTGTGTCTCCTTATGTCTGATCAGGACTGCTTCGATGTGGAATGATCAGTCAGGGGCTTGCCATTTCATTGCAACGTCAAATTTAGCTAGCTCACACTGTGCTGAAACAGTGGCTTTGCTACGGGAGAGTAAGCATTCCTTTCGGTTCTTCTCCGTGGCCTCTGTGCACCACACATGCGCGCCTTGCGCACTCGTTTCGGTTACTTAGTGCTTCGATCTTTTGCTCAGCCCGATTCAACTGAAAGGCATGAAGTTTATCTGCAAACTTCAAATATGACCGTAAGCTGTTAGGCCTCGGTGACATGCTATATTCTTAAATCTTAAATGGTGATACAGTTAGCTTCTCTTAATTGGCGTGACTAAACCTGTTAATTTTTTTAAAAAAATGATGAAAGCTGTTAGTTTATAACATGGTGCAGCTTTGATTAAGTAAACCAAGCAATTATTTAACATTTCCATTAATGCAATTATTTAACATTAGTTGCATCTGCATGATGGATGCAAAGGGATAACAATGGGAAGGTAGACTCCTGTTGTAGATGTAGACTTACATCCTCCCTTCCAAATTCTCTGCAAAACATCATTAATTAGAAGAGGCTCCCAGATACTTGACTTTCTGCTGACATTTTGTTTAATAGAATGTAGGGATCAGTGGCTTTCTTGATAGGATCATTCATTTCATATGAACTCCCTCTGCAGGATATCATCCTGCTTGGCAAAACTGCTGTCGTGTGGACTGGTGTGAGACATGCTAAACCCTTCCATTCTAGGGTGCGTCTTTTTCAGAGCTGGCGCAATGTCTTCCCCGTACCGCGCTCTGAAGACCATGTGTGCCAGTGTAACAGGCTGGTCCCAACACCCAGACTCAGAGGATGAGCTCCTTACACCTTGCATCAGAGATGAGGCTGCCTCCCTGCTTGCCTGTCCCTCTTGCGGTCATCTTTGTCTTGGGCAGAAATCCAGAGATTGGCACAATTCTGCATGGGGCTTCTGCACTCAGGGAGAGAATTTATGTGGCAGTGCAAGTGTGCAGCATTGTTCCTGCATGCATTACTTTCCTCAGCGCATGTAGAACATCTGATGTATGTGAGCTGCATACTTATGTTTCTTAGTGGGTATGTGTTTAAAAACAAAATAAAAGCTAGTGCTGTTTTAACACAAACCAGATAGAAAAAGGAAGCATATTCAGTAGCAACCTGTTCTACCTCAAAGTGGCTGCAAATCGGCAACTATAGTCACTGAAATTAGCAGTTTTTATATCATTCTAAGGAAAGCACTGCATTAATGCATGATATAAAAAGGATTTGAGAAATGTGTGTTTTTTTTAAAATGAAAATGCAGTTCTGAGTGACTGAATCTTCCCATTTCAGCCACTGCATTTGCCAAAGAACAAGCTGGAAAATGGAACTGGTATCTGTCAGTGGCTCCAGATTATTCCACAAATTAGCTGGAGATGGGGTGGGAGCAGCTCAGAGGGACCAACGTGGTGGTGGTACCCAGCAGATAAATTTTCTCCTGAAATCTTAATAACAAATGCTGAACAGATTAGGTTTCTTAATCTATACTTCTTGCATTTCTTAATGCCATGCAAACTTACTCAGTTAAAATGTCAGCATGTTTGATCATATACCATTAGATAAGCATGCAGTTGCCTGTTAAAAGCAAGCTTTAAAATGTACAAGGACCTTTAATAGCTAAAATATACAGCAGAATAATTCAGTTCAGTGACTTATTAGAAGTCTTCACTAGTTAAGGAAAACATTGACTATCTTGCTTGCTCTCTTTAGACTACTGTCAATTTAATACAGCTATTGGTTAGCTCATTATTCTGAGATAGGCTGATGGGCCAACTTTGGTTGTTCGTGGGATCGAGTTCTGGGACACGTACAGGCGGAAGCGTCCCACCATTTTCTTAACTCTGAGCAGTTACTTTGATTTCCGGCTTGCTACTGAGCCCCTGGGTCCAGTGAGTCACCTTGTACCCAAGAGCCCCGCGTGACTGTTCTGCTTTGTAAGACACCTACGTACCCACAGTGGCCCTGCACATAAATCTGTTAGTCAGGCTGGGACACTTTCTGGCAGCGCTTCGCTGTCTTCCCAGGGACGGCCCTCCACTGAGGATGCCGCTGGTCATGCGGAGGGTGCTTGCCTTTTCTGGGGTCAAACCAACAGATTCCAGTGGAGGTGGCCTGATCCTGCGCCTTCCATCTTTGTGCCTTTTGGTACGCAGCATGCCATGATTTCAGATTTCCCTAAAGCCAAACATGGTGATTGGTACCAGTTCCATTTTGTTGCCGTTAAAGCTATTTTTATATTTCATTTCTCATTTAATAATTGATATCTGGAATAATCAGCAGCTCTCTTCTCATTTATTTTCTCATATTTTTATTCCAGGATTTGCCTCTGAAGCAGGGAGTGTCTGCATTAAAAATGACCTGTAGTTCTCTGCTTCATAGGTTAGAAACTTATTTTAATACTTTGTGGCTAAGCACAGTCCCACCTTTTTCAAAAATTTCAGAAGCCAAATAATTGGCATAAAATGTGGCCTGAAGGTATGCATCTTGCCTTGGGGTTTCTATCATTTTGGATAAAGTGGCTTAAACACACAGTCCAGCAGAGGCAATAAAAGTAGTTGTGTTTGCTTGCAGCCTTTGTCTGACTTAAAGGATTAAAACAAAAAAAAAAACCTTATTGCCACATTTACAAACATGAACATACTGTTTGGACTCTATTTCTGAATACTTCTGCATTGCTTAAGCCTTACATAGCTTGAAGTATTCAAATTCCAAAACAAGCCAAATTCTAAAGCATTTGTTTGGGGAAAAAAATCAGTCCACCAATCGCATTATTTCAAAGGGACTGCTATAGCCAGCACAGTCACAATCATGTACCCTGTATTTACTTCTAAATTGTACACCGCAGATGCTTCTTCAGCTCCCTCCTCTTCCTCCATGGGCGGTGCTTGCAGCTCCTTTGCCACCTCTTCCAGCCCCACCATTTACTCTACCTCAGTCACTGACAGCAAAGCTATGCAAGTGGAAAGCTGCTCCTCAGCCATGGGGGTAAGTACCAGAGGGGTAAGTGACAAGCAGTTAACCAGTAACGCAGTCCAGCCGCAGCCGCAGCCACAGTCCATGCCGAAGAGGCACACGGTCCTGTACATCTCGCCACCGCCGGAGGATTTGCTGGACAACAGCCGGATGTCCTGCCAGGACGAGGGGTGCGGATTGGAGTCCGAGCACAGCTGCAGTATCTGGATGGAAGACTCGCCTTCCAACTTCAGTAACATGAGCACCACTTCCTACAATGATAACACTGAGGTGCCACGTAAATCCCGTAAGCGAAATCCAAAACAGAGGCCGGGGATCAAACGGCGAGACTGTGAAGAGTCGACCATGGATATCTTTGATGCTGACAGTGCCAAAGCGCCTCATTATGTCCTTTCTCAGCTCAGCACGGACAGCAAAAGCAACCTGAAAGCAGGAAATGGGTTGGTATCTGCCTTTATGTTCTATCAACATATGTTTTAAACAAAACCAAAGTGAAAACATTGCCTTGACTTTTCCCTAGAGTTCAGCTCAGGTTCTCGCTCAGAAATATATGGAACTAAGTTCAATGGCTTCTTACACTAAACTGCCAGGGGCACATTGGTGATGTTAGGGTACGTTCTAGCAAATGTAGCAGCCATTGAACTAATCAGACCAGGAACAGTTGCCTCGCACTTCCCTGTGGAACCCGATTAGTGGATAGAAAGCTTTCCAATAAAGCATATTAAAAACGTAATCCCTGAAGCTGCGATCGGCTCCTCCATGTCTTCCTCCGCAGTGCCACACAAACTGTGTGTGAGGATCTAAATCTGCACCTCGCCTACTTCCGTTTCACTCTCTCCATCAATTAAAGACAGCCGGTACTGTGCCTGTGACATTAACACGTACTAAAATGTTAAGATGTGCTGAACCAGATTTGTGTTCCATGTCACCTCAGTTCTGTATCCGACTTTTCAGAAATAAATCTCTGATCCTGTTTTGCTGTGTGCCTCTCGGTTGTGTGCATGTGCGAGTGTGTTGTCTGTGGTCCTGCCTGGGTTGTGGTTTCTCATCTCTTCCACTTCGCACTGTCCCGCTTAGTTGCACCTTAGCTGAGAAAGCCTGGTTTAGATCCGGAAATCCCACTGCATGAGCAGGAGGTCACAGGACCCTCCGCTGGCCTTTGTGAGCGGCGGCAGGGAGAGAGTGATGGCCATCGCCCGAAAAACTGGCGGTGTGCACACAGAGCGTTTTCCGCTCGTACGGGGGTCTTTGAATCCAAGCCATCGTCCACGGCTTTATTATCCCCACCTGTGGCTCGTAATCAGACAGTGGGCTTATTTTATGTCCTGTATGTGTTTGTGGTGTGTTCTTGTTTTTACACTTGGACTTGTGGGTATTAAACTGAAGTGGGGCTGGGGAAAGAACTTGTCCATCCAAAGGAAAGGCCCCTTCAGTTTGCGTTTTCTGTGCTGTTCCTGTTCCATACTTAAAATAACACATTGCAAAGGCATATTATAAGAAACTCTCCAGGGGTTTTTAAGCTGCTGAAGAACCTTTTTGGGGTATGACTGGGTAGCCTTTTCCATGCAACCTGACCTGAAATACTGTGTCACTTTCTCTCTGCAGAAAACTCAGTAAGAGCTCTACAAGGAAAAAAATAGACTTAAATGAAAATTTCAGTTTTGTCCTGCAGATTCCAGAACTGGCCAGTCTTCCCAAACCCATACTCCAAGTGAGATAGAAGGCCTAGGCAAGTTTTAGAGCAGGCATGGAGCACCTGTGGCCTTTGAGCGTCCCTGGGCTCCCGCTGCCATCGCCCCTGACCGTTGGCCATGCTGCCTGGGCTGATGGGGCAGAGCGTGGCAACGTCTGCAGGACCAGACACTTCCCCCTCCCTGGTTGGCAGGCTGTGAGTTCAAGGAAGTAATTTTAGGTTCTGAAACGGAGCAGTCGGGTCCTGTGCGCATCAGCTCAGAAGCAAGCTGCACTGGATTTATTGGGACTTACTCCCGGGTGTTTATAGGATTACTGTTTAAAGCTCTGCCTACCTCTCCTAACTGATGTGAGGAGCTCCTGTCGTATAATGGGATTACTCTGGTATCTCGTAACTTTGGCAGCAAAAGAGCTGCCAGAATTGAGCAGGGGTTTGGTTTGAAAGAAATCACTCTCCACCTGTCCTAAGGATGGTGAGTGCTACTTGCCTGTGGCGACCCGTGAGCTTCATAGCTAAGCTGCAGCTTGAACCTCAGTGGGAAGTCATCTCTCGGGGTGCTGTGTGCTGGGGCAGGTGGCCCTTGCAGCATCCAGCGAGGCTCGTGGCCGCGGCTGGCAGGGACAGCAGCGGTGGCCTTCCTTTCTTCCAGGCAGAGACCTGCGGTTGTTGGGTGAGACTCGCTGGAGCACAGCCACCCCAAAAGGCCAGGGCAGCCCTGTGAGGACAGCGCCTCCCGCTTGGCCTGTGGAGGCTCAGCGTGCTTCCTGGAGCATCCTTCTGACCCAGCCCGCCGGGCCCAGGCACTGGAGGCCGTGCCGTGCCCCCTGAGGCCCCCAGATCTGGGTGGGAGCAGAACCATGGGCGGTCTTCGGCATCCTGCATTCGGAGAATTCCCAGCAGCCTCTCCCAGTGCCATTGCCCGTTCCTTGAAGGCGAGGGGGAAACATTTTTGAAGCTGTGAAAGCAAACAAAGGGCGATTCTAAGCATGGCCCTGGCCTCCTCGTGCAGGCCTTGCTGGATCCTGAGCTAGGCCCTTTTACTTCAGGGTGACCTTGTGCAGCACGAGAACTCGGGGCTTAGGGCTGAGTTCCCAGTGCAGCTCCCAGACAACAGTGCTGGAAACAGGAGCCCCGCTGCACGTGTTCTGTCCATTAAAGCAGCGTTAGTTGTGGAAAAGAGGTGGCTCTCTAACCAATAAATCAGCCCGATCCCCTGCCAGAGAGTGTCCGTACACTTGAACTGCTGCAAGGTCAGACGCAGAGCTAGCGCAAAGCTGCCCTGCCTTTTAGCGTGGAGGTGCGCTGCTTCACCTTGGGTGCCATACATTAGCCGCTGCAGCGAGGTTTATTTTGTCTCTCACCTTCGGAAAGGACAGGGGGGCCTTCTGTGTAGCTAAACAGACACCTGCTTAACTGAATCAGTCTATGAGTAATTTCTGCTCTACCCAAACAAATACAAGAAACAGGTTCATTTCAGCCTGGTGCAGTAAATGTATGTTTTTTCTTCTATTAATATGTTTGTTTTAAAGAGAAAATGTAAGTGCAGTTAATCTTACTCAAGTGTCATTGGCTGTAACGGGAGCTATGCACTTGTTTAACCCTCCCCTCTCTTTGAAATTACGGGGGTGTTCCAAGTGTTGGTGGATCGAGTCTGTTTATATATATGCAGATGCAATCTGTGGTAAAGCAGAAGTAACATCTAGCAGCAATGTTGTCGATAATGCAGCCCAACTGTGGATAGTATGAATAGTTTTGCTGCCATATAGTGATTAAAAGGCTATTACCTTCAAATGGTTTTAAAGGCTTACATGGGATTGTTGTATTTCAGAACTCGCATTCCACACAAAAGGGATAGATTTCAACTCTGTACATTTAAAGAGTGGATTCTGCTGAACCATATGCATTTATTTATGTAATTAGTGCCTAGGAAATTTCTTCAGAAATGACGTAACCACTCTTTGTTTGAAATGGCTGCAATTAGTGAGGAAGCGTACAGTAAACTGTTCGAGGATGGCTGTCCTCAGAGGCCAGCCGGCTGGATGTGAGCTGGCTCGGTTCCCTTCCATAGTACAGTGTACGTGTATCGCCATAGATGTGAGAAGGAGACAAGTGTAATCTCAGGCCAGGTCCTCTAATTGCAGTGCTGCAGGTCCGTGCTGTGGAGGGGATGCCACCCGCCTCCCTCCATGTGGCTCCACTGCCCATATCCCTGCTCCGTGGCTTGAAACAGGCTCATTTAGAGTTGGCCCAGGCCCGTGTGTCTCTCCCCGTCCTTTCAGCCAGGCTTTGCTCCTTTTCCAAGGAAGGCCTCTGGTAACATGTTCACTGGTCTGCTTTAACACCTCAGAACACCCGAAGCCCCAAAAGCAGCTGGAGGAAAGAAAAGCCCCATGTTATGTGGCCAGTACCCTGGGAGAAGTGAAGGCAAGGAGCTGAAGATAGTCGTTCAGCCTGAGACCCAGCACAGAGCTCGCTACCTGACGGAGGGCAGCCGGGGCTCAGTGAAAGACAGAACGCAGCAGGGATTCCCGACCGTCAAGGTAAGCCCGACCAGGAGGGCGTGGGAAGGGCCAAAGCAGCACCGGCGCTGGGGGCTGCCGAGGCTGCTGCTGCTGCTGCGGCTGCTTCGGGGTGGCTCTGCGCCCAAGGCAGCATTTTGGCTTGGTCCCCCAGGCCTTGGTGGGCCTCTGTGGTGGCAAAGGGTCGCTCCGGGCCAGCGAGCGTCATTTGGTAGTGATCTTGTCATTCTCACTTTCAAATGGCACAAAAATAGAATTTGTGTATATAGTTCCATATTTCACAGGGATGTGGCTGTTTTGTTGTTTGGAGAGGAAAGAACTGGATGTTTCTTGACTTAGTACAGGGGAGGCTTTCTTGGAGGATGTGTAAATATAGACTGATAGCTGCTCTCGGCTCTTAATCTTCAGATGAATGCACAGAGCACAGCCTGTGAGTCAGTTCACAGGAACTGAGCGCACTGCCGGGCACCCATGCTCCCCAGGGCCTCGGAAAAGGTGCGAGGAAGCCCCCGGAAGCGCTGCCAAAGTTGAATGGGCCCCGGGCCTGCCGTGGCTAAGTCTGACTGGCAGAACATTACTGGTGTGTAACTGGGGAGGCAGTGTGGTGTAGTGGCTAAATGCATGGGACTCAGGCAATCTGGGCTCTAGTCCCCGCTCAGTTAGGGAGCTTTGGGCCAGTCACAGACTCTCAGCCCTTCCTGCCTCACAGAGTTGTTGTTGTGGGGATAAGATTGAGAGCAGCAGGAGAAGAATTATGCAAAGCACGAACCTGTTGCCCTCCAG